GGGCCTCTTTTGTTGGCCCGAGGGAAGCTAAGCAGCTGTGGCAAGTTGTCAGGAGGTCATTGCCCCGATTTCGCCAACGTAAGATGACAACCCCTCCTTTTCAATTGGAAGGCCTTGAAGATCAGTGGATGCCTCATTTCGGTCAATTAGAAGCGGGCACAGCTACTTCACTGCCAGAGCTCTTGCAGACCTGTGTCAAGCGACAGACCCGCCAATTGTTTGATGCACCGCAAACTTTGTGTATCAGTGAATTGCCCACCCTTTTTGCCTTAGAGGATGCATTCAGACGGACCATGCCTGACAAGTCCACTGGAGATGATCCGCTCCCCTCCGGGCTTTTTCATCATGGAGCCAGTGCAATGGCAGGATTATACCATGATCTTCTGGTTAAGGAATTCCTTTGGCATTCTGAACCCCTGCAATTTAAGGGTGGGCCAGTTGCCATCATCCCTAAATGCCTTGCACCCACTACAGCAAAGCAGTTTCATGGCATACTTTTGCTGGGCAATATGGCTAAGCGTACGCACTCAGTGTTGCGTAGTCATGTCATGAAGCATCTCTCACCGGCTCGAGCGCCTGGCCAATTAGGAGGATTTCAGGGACAGCAAGTCATGTTTGGATCCCAGGCCCTCAGACTTTTTGGCAAGCTGGCCGATGTGAAGGGTATTAGTAGTGCGGTGTTATTCCTTGATCTCACCAGCGCATTTCATCATTTGGTTAGGGAGCTAGTCACAGGTTTGTCTACGCCAGCTAGCCTTGATGTTGTGTTGGATGTGCTTACGAAAACGGGTCATCCTGCTGAACAGATCAAAGCAGCTTGTCAGTTGCCAGGTTTATTAGCAGAAATGGGAGCACCTTCGTCTCTGATCCGACTGGTTCGAGATATCCATGCTGAAACATGGTGCTCCCTCCCAAATCGGAAATACCTGCACACTCACCGTGGAACAAGACCAGGGAGCCCTCTCGCAGATATCATCTTTCATGTTCTCATGGCTGCAGTTGCCAAGGACGTTGACGCTTGGATTCTGGAACACAGGGTGCATTTGCCAGTATTGCCTACCCTGGATGATGCATTCCCTAGTATCCTGTGGGCAGACGATGTAGCTATTCCGTTAGCCACCGAGAAGGCAGAGGATCTTGTTCCATTACTTCTCGATTTATTGAGAACAGTGAGAGAAGCATTACATGCCAGAGGTTTTCTGTTGAATTTCGCGTATGGGAAGACCAATGCAGTTGTGTCCTTTCGTGGCACAGGTGCTAGTGAACTTCGTCAAACCTATCAGCTGATCGACCAACCAGGGGTTTGCTGTAGGTTTGTTGATGGGGAGGAATCCTGGCTTCATTTTGTTCCAACTTACAAACATTTGGGTACCTTTTTCACATCGGACCATGGTTTGGAAGTTGAACTTTCAGTCCGCATTGGAACGGCAGCATCCGCCTTTGCGCACCTAGCCAGACCTCTCCTGACTAATCGCCATCTCCCCACCAATATTCGGCTGCGACTTTTTCATGCACTTATTTCCTCTAAACTGTTTTTCGGACTAGGAGCGTGGCATACCTTGACCCCGAAACAATTGCAGCGCCTCACTGGCTTTTATGTTAAGTCATTGAAAAAAGTCATGCGGTGGCCCCAGGAGAAGTGGATGCAGACCAATGCCCAAGTGTTCGCAGCTGCACAAGTCTTAGATGTACGTGCGAGACTAGCGGCTGATCGACTCCTCTATGCTCAGAGGGTGTTTGCGGTTGGCCCCTTTTTCCTGCAGAATGTTATCCACATCGAAGCAGCCGCTGTCAAAGATTCATGGTTGGCAGGGTTGAAAGCAGATCTTGCTTGGATGGATGCAGTCACTCCCAATACCTTGCCAAAGGAGTGGAAAGAGGATATGACGTCCTTGATTGAGCAATGGCAGAATGCTCGATCTAAATGGAAAGTGCAGGTTAAAGCCGTGGCACGCAAGCATCAATTTCAAGAGAAAATGATGGCAGACATAGTCTCACTGCATAAATCGGTATTCGATGTGCTGCGCAACTCTGGTGCATCTTTTAAGAAGGATCCCTTTGCTGTTTCTACTGAGGATGGAGACCAGCAGTGCTTTTGCGGGGCTTCCTTCACTACGCACAGAGGTCTCCTTGCTCATCAAAGACGCAAACACATGATTTTCTCAGCCGAGCATCGATTTCTACAGGAAGCAACCTGCATGCATTGTGGTAAATACTGCTGGACGACACAGCGTCTGCAGCAGCATCTTGCGTTCATTCCCAAGAAGTTAGGTTACAATCCGTGTTTCCATGCCCTTTCTTCGCAGGGAAGAAGCTGTGATTATGCCGCAGTCAAGATGCCGAAGGCAGTTGTCGGATTAGCAAGGCGTGAATCCCTACAAACAAGTGGGCCTCAGCTTGAACAGCCGACTTTGATTGCCAAACAAAGGGCACAATGGGAGGAAGAGTTAGCTGCATGCCATGTTCAATTGATCATCTCTGATGAACCACCAGATGCTTCCGAGCGAGGTGCTCAGATTGGAGATGCGTTGACGGCATGTACGCAACAGTGGTTCCAGATGTATTATCCTAGTGGTGCCAATGAAGCAGAAAACAGGAATTGATTGATGGATGGATCCAAGTCCTTTGCATCGATTTTGTAGACAATAATGTTGCATGGGATAACTGGCTTGCTTTCGTTTTCCTCGCATGGGGAGACCATTGGTTACCGGATATCATCGCAAGTTTTTTGGATGGAGAAGCAGAAGGAGTTGTGGATGAGCTCTATGCTCAGTTCGCTGCTGAACTGCCGAGGTATCAAGTCCTCGCTCGTATTGCTTTCTTAGAGACTAGTCTGAGGCACTGTGTTGAGCAGGAACCTTTGAAGCAGTCAAACATCCAAAGAGCACTTCGCAAGTTTATCAACCTGTGCCACGACGTTTTGGGGAGCATGATCAGTGGTTGAGGGATATGAGACAGTGCACCTTTGATTCCATACCGGATGCTGCTAGATGTCCGAGGTACAAGGATGTTGCTGACCCACCGACGTTTTTAGTGATTCACTTGTTCAGTGGAAGACGCAGGAAAGATGATTTCCATGATGCACTAAAGACAATTGCAGCACAGAGCTGCTGGCAAGTCATAGTCTTGTCCATGGACACCGCAGTGTCCCTAGAGTATGGAAACCTCATGATTGGGGCACCCTCGTGGAGTTCCCTGATTGCACTTTATATGGCTGGACGAGTTTCTGCCACATTGTGTGGTCCACCATGCGAAACCTTTAGTGAAGCAAGGTTTACTGAAGCACCAGATGGAGTGTCTCGGTGGCCGCGACCTTTGCGCTCGATGAGCAGGTTGTTTGGCCTTGAGGACCTCACGATGAGGGAATTGAGACAGTGTGCGGTAGGCAGTTCTTTTTTCCTTCAGTGTGTGTGGGTGCTTTGTATCCACATTGCCTATGGTGGCCTCTTCGTTGCGGAACATCCAGCCCTTCCTCATGACACTGAGAGACCAAGTATTTGGTCTAGCCCGATCATCCAGCTCCTTCTTCAGCTGCCCGATCTACATTTGCATCATGTAGCGCAATACCGTTGGGGAGCAGAGGCTGTAAAGCCAACCGGCCTATTAGTCTGGGCGATGCCATTTTTCTGCAAGGACCTTTGCGAGAAGGCTCTGAGCGGCGTGGCCAAGCCGACGACAGTAGCGATTGGGAAAGATGTTCAGGGACGTTTTTGTACAGCACGCCATAAGGAGTATCCTGGGCCATTTTGTCATGCGATTGCACATGCCTTTGCTCAACAATTCACTAGGCTGGTGCGTCGCAATGAGCTCAGACACTCATCGCCTGTACAGCCTGAGCAGAATGAGTGGATCTCTTCTGCTGCTGCTATCAGCGAGGTCATTCGGTGTGATGCCAACTGGTTACCCGATTTCCAGGACCTCTAATTCATGCAAGCCAATGTGCTGCAAGGGTTGAACCCTTCGAGAGCCTGAAATGAAATGAAATGAAATATACGTATATACATGTATATATATAAATCTTTATGTATATATGTATATAAATAAAATAAACAAATAAATAAATATATATATATATGTGTATGTATGTATGTATATATATATATATCTATAAGTAAATATATGTATATATACGCGCAAAGCCTGGGCTTTGCCCAGGTGTTGCAGCGTAGAGGGTCCCCATTTCCAATCAAATCTTGTTTCAACTCTGCATTCCATTTGGGCAGATCAACAAAGGTATCAGGGAATATAAAAAACCACACCCCCGTTAAACTCTACATTCAACTGGGACGATCAACAAAGGTAGTAGGGAATATTAAAGTCCCACCCCCATTAAACTTTACATTCATTGAAGATCTGCGATAAGGATCTAATTCTCCCACCCCGTCAAACTTCTACATTCATTGAAGATCTTGAAAATGGGTCTAATTCTCCGACCCCCGTCAAACTTCTACATTCATTGAAGATCTTCAAAACGGGTTTAATTCTCCCACCCCTGTTAAACTTCTACATTCATTGAAGATCTTCGATAAGGGTTTAATTCTCCCACCCCCGTTAAACTTCTACATTCATTGAAGATCTTCGATAAGGGTTTAATTCTCCCAACCCCGTTAAACTTCTACATTCGTTGAAAATCTTCAAAAAGGGTTTAATTTTCCCACCCCTGTTAAACTTCTACATTCATTGAAGATCTTCAAAAAGGGTTTAATTCTCCCACCCCGTTAAACTTCTACATTCGTTGAAGATCTTCAATAAGGGTTTCATCATCATGATGATGATGATGATGCGTTGCCAGTCGTGGTTGCGGTTCCGGGCAAAAGCCCAGGCATTTGCCGTATATATATATGTATATGTATACATCTATTTTACATATATATATATATCTTTACATATATACATATATTATACACATATATATATACACACACTTTTTTTCCCGCTGGTGAACTGCCATGAAAACATTGGAACTGCGGAAAAGAAACTGGAACTTCTCAGATCTGCAGGTGGAATATTGGAACGATGTGCTGAAGCATAGTCTAAAAGATGAACTTCCATCACTTCCTTCCTCTGCTTCTCGGTTGAAATCAGCGACATGACGCTGGGACACGGTGGGACGTGCTGTTCGTATTGGATGTTGCAGCGACACCCCCCTAACAAGATGGTTTGATCCAAACTTAGTTACACCACCCAGAAACCCATGGTTCAAATTTGTGGCTGCACAGATTGGACCTAGGACTCAGTGACCTTCAGTTTTGGCGCAGGATGTGGTGATCCTATCCTTATCACTGGCCAATGAGGGCCTGCCAAGCACCCGCACGGCCGAGGAGACTTGGGCAAAAAAAAGGCCATGGCATGATGTTCAGCAAGAAGACTTGGATATAATGAGTATATGACCCATAGAACTAGAACTGAAATTTGGAAGACTTGTTTATTCGAGTTTCATTGTTTGAAGATGACGGATTTACTCCCAATTGATTATATTGATTTTATCCTCTGGGAAAAATGAGCTGCTGAACCATGGAAAAGAAATGTGGGCGATTATTGATGAGCAACTTCAGTCTAGAAATTCTTTAAGACCCGGGAAACCATAGATTTTTGCATAGATTAACCTATGGTTTCCCAGGAGAGATCCGCCTTGGAGATATATTACCTGGAGAAGCTGCGGTGCTTGGCCATTGGGCTCAGGAAGGCAATGAAACCAACAGCACGATTGGTGATAGGAGGCGCGTTGTCCGGTGGTTTTCTGTCGTGGCATGGGCGATTTTTTCGGATCATCCTGTGGAACCGTCATCCAGTGCTGTGAAGAGGATCCCCAGTCGGACTGACATGATCCAATTGGAAACCACCGAGTCAGCTGGTAGATGCTGGTAGATGCTGGTAGATGCTGGTAGATGCTGGTAGATGCAGCTGTCTTGCAGGTCCTTACCCAAATAATGCCTACAGCATGGAGCATTTGGAGGTTCGGAATTGACGTTGATGACGTTTTTTCAGCGTTTCAGATGGACGCCACGGACTGTTGGACTGTTCGATGTTGTTTTTCGTTCAAATCCTGGGGCTTTCAGTGAACTGTTGGATGTTAAGCACCGCGGATTCTGCATCCGATGTGGATTTCTGTTACCGGCTATTCGTAGGGCTTCATTTTCCAAAGTATCAAGGTGGGCCTAGTGATTTTTGTCATAACCCTAGCTAGTTTGAGAATGTTTGAGATATCTACCATAAAACCATATAAACCTGACAGTTATTGGAGTTACGTTCACCTGAGCGATTTGGCTCCCTGGGGCAGGTCCTGAAGCGAGTTTGGGACACCATGAAGACATGGGATTCGGTGGATCACTTCATCGACTTTTTGCAGCACCTCAAACGCATCGAAATTCGTCCTGTTCGTTGTTCGTGTTGCTGCCGTTCTCCGTCTTCCTTTTTCCGCTTTTTCCGAAATTATCCCTCGGAACATTCTTCTTCTTCTTCGTCTTCTTCTTCTTCAGATGATTCTATAATACTACATTTTTTTAAAAATATTTTGTCTTCTTCGGAAGTGTTATTTTCTTGGGCACAGCATGCTCCCAGCAGTGAGGCCAGTGGTCCACGATGGTCGGGGTCATTGGCACCCGGGGGCCTGGGAGGATGACTCGCACCCCAACGATCTGGGCCATCGAAGCTCGGCGCGAGCGAGCGACCGAGGGACCGAACTCTGGGGACCTCTGGGGATGTATTTTTTTCGGGACTTTAGGGTATTTGAAGGGGGGAAATTAGAGACTTTAGATGACTTTTACAATTTATATCATGATTTAGAGGGTCGTGAGCTGTTTTTTTGAGATTGCAGATCGATCAATGCAGTTCGGACACATAGAAATCTTACCATTTTTCACCACACCGCACTGCAGCTTCCAGACTTGGTTCGATGTGGATTCCCCTCACGAAACGCTCAGCCGCATCCCAGGTTCGATGTATCAGTGCCTGGACATCGATTCCATTCTTGCGGATTCCTTGAGCAAAAATGGCGCTGAGCTGGGTCTGGTTGGATTTTTCGTGGTGAGATCAACGGCACTGGGGGTGATGTTTTTTTCAGATGTGACTCTTGGCTAGACCTGACCCCCAACTTGGTAATCCACAACATTTCTTACTCCATCTTTGTTAGTTTGGGTTTGAATCCCCATGATTCTAATCGCATCCCCACCTTTGCTAGTAGATGTCCTCATCTTTGTTCCGTACGCTCCCATTATTGCAATAGTCCCACACTTGCTGGTTCATCTCCCCATTTTCATTGGTGACTGTCCCCACACCAGCCACCATTTTTTTCTGGCGAAATCATCAAATGTTACCATTTTTGTTGGTTATGTCACCATTTTTCCCGGTGATCAGCGAATTGATGTAAGAGGAAAGCTTCAGGAAACCATGGTTTCCGGGTTTCATAGCATGTAAGATTTCCCATTCTCCAACTCTGGGAAATCTGGAAAACCAACGAAAATCTTCATTCTCCTAGTCATAAGTCACCATTTTCGCTAGTCATAAGTCACCATGTTCCACCATTTTTGATTGTAAAACCATCATTTTCCACCGTTTGGGATGGTACAAAAACGATCATCTTTGATGACCCCACAGGTAGATGCATGGGACGATGCAGCACAGACTCAGCAACTTGGAGTTTTATAGTGGGAAGATCTTGAATGCTGGGGATATGGGATATCTATATGTTTTATTATGTTTTAATATCCATTCCCAATACGTTTCCACCAGGGTGTGATGGGGAATTTCCGAGAAATCCCAGCTTTTTTTGAAGGGGAGACTTGGCCTATTCTTTTTGGGTCAACACATCACTTGACACGGTGGTTGAATGGTGGTAATACCCAGTGTCGGTCAAATCCTAGGGCTTCTTTATGCTTCCTCAGATGAGACCCTCTACTCTATAGGCTCTGAAAATAGGATATAGCTCCAATGCCAATGGATTATCATCCTTGTCTCACTGAAATTCATTAGACAGTTGCCATTTTGGTACCCTACGCCCCATCTTCAGACACTCCCCCTCAGCATCGGCCATCTTGTCACGGATGCTTGGGTAGATGGACATGTCGGGTTTGTCCGTGAGGTACCCCCGAAACTGAAGGTTTTATCACCATTCTCCCTTATAAATCCACGTTGTATACATTCATTTATATACATACAACAATACAGATATGTTTATATTTATCCTGCGATGTTTTGACATTAGCCCCAGAAACATTTCATGTGTTGATGCTGCCTATTCAACAGCTCACATTGATAACTGGCCACTGAAGCTGTCCCGTGATCAACCTCTGCTGGCTTGCAAGGAATGACATTTTCAACTATGGGACATTGCCTTCGGGAGTTTGGGACTCAGAACTCAAGATTTTCAGAAGCTCTGTGTCCTGCACCTCCCAAATAAATCGTGTGGGGATTTAGACACCGCCAACCTGCGCCAAAGGTGACACCCCTCAATGATGGCTGGTTAATAAGCCCTTAATAGTGCTTGTTTGTGGTTAATAAGCCCTCAATCAATTCCTATTCTTTGAGGGGTCACCTGTGGGCTTTGTTGCATTGGCTTAACATTCCCATGACAATTCCAAGATTCAATCTCGCTCGCTGAAGCCTCCGTGCTGAAGCGCTGAAGCCACTGGCAGCCACTGGCAGCCACTGAGGTCTTAGAGATTTTGAGGTCCAATTGGACCATGGAATGTACCATTTACAACGAGAATTACATCGGCTTTTCGGTCCTCCCGTCGCGTTTTTTGGCGTTGCAGCGCTGATGCGCGGCCAGTGAGCGGCCAGTGATTTTCCTGTCTGAAAACGGGCTACCCCCCAGATGTGGTGTGGATGATCATTAGTTATGGATAACTTATTATAATATGATTATCACATTTCCCATCATTTTGGGTTTTGGCCGCAGCACATTTTCGGACTGAAGCATTTCCAGCAGCTTCAAGCCCACAGAATCGCCATTTGAAGTTCATAAAACCACTATTTGAAGTTTTCTGTTCACGAAATTGCTAAGTTGACTTATCAATAACTTGGTGATTGACAACCAGGGACTCAACGGTTGATTCCAGTAGGAGAAAAAATATACTATTCATGAGGTTTACAAAGCAGCACACATCTGGATAAATTATATATATATATATATTCACACACACACCATTCTTTATGAAACCCCTATGAACCCTCATGAAACCTCCTTAAATCCCATTAAATTCCATAAAGCTAGTTGACATCCCATGATTCAGCCAGAAAAAAATCACCTCACTCGCCTCGTTGCCAGTTACTGGGCTCCGAACCTCATGCGGTGGACTGCCCCACACACCTGAGGTATCAGGAGGCGATTACTACATGTTATACATGTTATCCAAGTTGCGATTATTATGTATAATAGTACTAGACGAATATCATATTACTAGATGAGTCTACATTTACTAAAATTCACCTTGTAATTTTTGACCTGTAGCCCCCAAGATGTCGGAAATGTGGTGGACTCGTTTGCCTTGTTGGCTGGCTCCAAAGAGGCATTTTTTTGGAGACCTCCAGCGAAAGTTGATGTTGGTTATCGCCACATGTCACTTTCCAGTGGAAGATAGTGGAAGTAATCCTCTTGACATTTTGGTGCATTCTTTTGGGAGCCATTGACAAAACTTTGCCCATCCGCCTTGGTTACTTTGGCAACCCCCAAAATAAATCGAAAGATTGGAACACCTGGACATTTTGAGCTAAGGCAGCTAAGACTTGTCTTCATCACACCGCTGAGGAGGGGATTTATCCGACTCCAAAGAGCAATTTTAATGGTAACATGGCGATGATAAACGACAACATGATGCCCCTCAGTTCTGTTTGTGGCTTTATAAACCCATGAAATCCCATGAATGAATATGTCTATCGTTACATCATGTTATATTCCCCTAAGCAACCCAATTGGCTCTCCATATTCCACATCAGAGACCACCGTTTTTTGGTGAACAGGTGGAACGTGTGATGCCGCGAATGATGCCGGTGGAAGAGCCCTTCGACCACAAGGGATATGATGAGTTTTACCATGAAATTTGGGGGTTTCCCCAGGGATTTTCAGACAAACCCACATGGTTGTAATACACCATGATCGAAGATATTTGACGTTTTTTTTTTCAAACAAGATACCATCTACATAACTAACACAGACCCTGGGTTGATCTCTGGGTCTCGGAGTGCGAATTCATCTTGCGCCCAAAACCTGGAACGGAATCGCACAGGAAACAACAACTGGAACCGGGGTTGATCCAAGATAGGTTTTGTTGCTATAGCCGCCTTGAGGTTCCAAAAATGGTTCTTTGTCTCCTACTTCGACCTTAGACCCTTCGTTAAGGCAGAGGTCAGTGTCTCAGGATTCGTCACGAACAGCCGAGCTTGCAGAAGATGGGCAGAAAACATCAGAAACTGGGGAGATTTAAAAAGGGATGGCATCCCATGGCAAAGAAATCAGGAAAATGAGGCGTCAAACATCTTCAGTTCCCATGATTTTTCGATGTTCCCATGAATAATTATCTAATACCCTCTAATGGCTAATAATGTTTATAGTGATATTATGTCTATGGTAAACCAATGGCTATAATGGCTAATAATGTCTAATATATACATATATATATATAATATATTATATTATATTATATTCAGGTGCCATTTGACTCGCCATTTGCCTCGTCGTGCCGAGGCGGCCTACAGCATGGGCACCACCGTGACTTGACCGAAAAGCGAGTTTGGGCGATGGCCGGTCCACAAAGGTCAACAGCCATGGTTTTATTCCAAAAAATGGGCCACATACATACATATATATATAGATATATATATATATTATAGATATATATATAGATAGATAGATATATAGATAGATAGATAGATAGATAGATAGATGGATGGATGGATGGATGGATGGATGGATAGATCATATCCCCTAGCAAAATGATTACGTGGATCTCAATATAACATCCCATTTTCTCACCATGAGGAGACCCCCCAGAAACACCTGATGGATTTCACCACAAGGGCCTTCTGCAAAAGGGCCTTTAAAGGGCCCCGCTGTTAAAACGAGGCCTTCGTCTGTGTCATCCTCTGCATTGCTTCCATCTTCTTCACGAGCTCGGCGAATGTGCTGGTCTTGGCACCCGTGGAGAAGATGATGAGAAAGGTGGAGGTGCGGAAACAGTGCGGCCACAGCCCTGGCTACAGCAGTCTGAAACGGATCTATCTGAAAAAGGGGAATGAGTTTGATTTCCCACATGGTAATGATGATCTGTTTGAGTTGGGAGACGGAAATGATGAAGCAGTTGATTTAGGAGTGCCCTATTTTCAGAGAATCAAAAGTCCAAGTACAGCAGCTGTTGATTTCGGTACAAAAGAATCGCTGGCAATGAGAAATCACAATTTTTAAAGAGGATGTAGAAATCCAAAAATCCAGAAATGGAGGATTTTTCATTGAAAGGTTTGTTTACCAGAGAGTAACTTGCAGCTTGCTGATGCTTTCATGGCCATGAAGACACATTTGGTGAACAGATGGCTCCCTGAAAACACAGAATGATGCAGAGCATCAGTTCTTTGATCTCTTGACCTTTGAACAGAGGTTATAGTTGGCTTGAAATAATCTCCGAAAACAGTGACATGTGGTAAGCCCAATAATCAACCCCCAATTCCTGACTGGTCATTTTCACCTTGTCACGTTTGCCAGTTGATTCGAGCGAACCCGTTGAAAGCCATGAAAATCGCAGACGACGAGTTTCAGCGCGAGGCTGTGGAGGGGTTGGGTGGAAACCACCAGGGCGAAAGTTTGCAGTTGAAATGCTCCTTCAGGTACGAACTTACCATCAGTATCCATCAGTTTTATGCAGAGCAGACACTAGCTATATCATGCTATATCTAGCTATTAGATCTCGCCCTTCAGATCTACGTCAGTTTTCCATAGTTTTCCTGTTGACCAACCTTCGAGGAGATGGAGAAAAAGAAGAGAGCCAATCGCAGATCCTGGAACCTCCGTAAAAGCAGAAATCCCATGGATCTTGTGAGGCGGGTGGTGTTCGTTGTTGTGACGTGCGCTTGTTGAACTGGCGTGCTATTCATGTCCTTGGCGATGCGCGGAGCACGGATCATGATTCGGAGACTTTGGAAGGCGAAACTGAACCATAAAAAGCCTCTGGTAATGACATTCACAGTTCGCCATGGTATAGTATGGATGGCCCTAATCGAAATAGATGGTTTACCGTTCTTAATAGCATGTCTATGTTCAAGAACCAGATGGTAGTATCATTTAGTGGGATGATCCTCCGACATTTTTGGTTCGAGTAGCGAAGCGCCATGGTTTGGCTCGGTGTTTCACTGGACAGCTGACTCAAAAAACCAAACGAGGTGAGCGCCTGGCAAAACAAAGATAAATAAGATCCAACTATATCGCATTCAAAACTATGGGGATCTATGGATATTCATTATAATTATCTATTAAATCGTATGGGTCAAAACCTATAAAACTACCATATGACTGGGGGAATAATCATCCAGATCCAGTAACCAGCTATTTTAGGATACCGGGTGCCGTTTGGTTTTAACCATTGAACGACATCCGCACGATCTACGCTGCTATGGAGCTTCCTCCTACGAAGAAGGCCAAGAAACCTGACAGATTCTTCAGCAAGGAGCGAATGAGAAAATTTTGGTGAATCTGGATGATTTACCCTCTGGTAATTTAACGTAGCTATGGAAAATCATCATTTTTAATGGGAAAATCCACTATTTCAATGGCCATTTTCAATAGCTATTTTGACATAACCAGAGGGTATATAATTTCTGAGAATGGTGATTTCATCGATTTTATCATTCGATATCAATGGGGTACCAACTGGGAGATTTCACCATGCCCAAATGGTTTTCAAACCCCCTGTCAGCTATGGGATGGAATTGGGGTACCCCCCGATTTCAGACACCCCAACAGGATTTGGTGATAGGGAAGTCTGTTGATGTTACTTGGATCTCCCTGGTGAAGTTTGGAAGTTTTGGCTTGAGGGAGGAGTGTGGAAAACGATCACATTGTCTCTTCAGAAGCTTTGTGGTATGTTTGGGGTTTGACCATTTTCGCGGTTTTGGGTTATATAAAGGTTGCTTATCCAAAGTTTCGAGTTGTTTTTTCAACGTTTTCATATTTCTTTGGCTTGGGATCTCTCTTTGACCGGCATTTTTCACAGGGGCCGAACCACCCACCAGCAAGCAGTTGACGGCAAACCCTTCATTTACTGCTCAACTGTCATATAGCCATGGTCAAAAGCTAGAATATATATATAATATTACATATATATATATATTATATACACCAGTAAACTTCAGCAAACCAGTATTGGTGGATGGTCATCAATCAATTGATAGGGGGAATCCCTGATGCCCCCGGAGGACTTCTTAGTGCAGCATATCAGCGACATCATTGCGTTCTACAAGCCGAGGCCCTCCGGTCATCTTTTTTGGGCTGGAAAATCCACCATTGACCCGAACTGGTCAACGTTTACAAAAAACGAACTGGAAAGATCCACCATGCCACAAGGATTTCCCAGCATACATACATGCATACATACATGCATGCATACATACATACATACATGCATACATACATACATGCATGCATACATACACACATACATGCATACATACATGCATACATACATGCATACATACATGCATGCATACATACATACATGCATACATACATGCATGCATACATACATACATACATGCATACATACATGCATACATACA